CAGAAGTATAGAAAATAGTATAATGACTTCCCTCCCATATACCAATAACCCAGCTCTAACTCATGGTCTATCTTATTCTATCTACACACCCACCCACCCACTTGCCTCTTATCCAGCACTATTTTGAAACAAATTCCGGACACCACATAATTTCATCTGCAAATATTTCAATATGTATCTCTGCCAGATACAAACTTTTCTTTAAATATCCCAATACTACTATCATACTTTCATAAGTGATTTTATCTTATTAATTTAACTTTAATAACCTTTAATATCAAAGAGTCACTATTCAATCTTCCCCTATGATCTCACATATCTATTTATAGCATGTTTGATTGAATCAGTATCCAATTAGAGCCACACATTGCAATTGATCTCTTAGGTCTCTTTTAATCTAAAGTTTCCTTCCATTTCTTTTTTTTCTTTGCAATTTTTTTGTTTCAAAAAAAACACCCATAATTTCCCACAATCTGGATTTTGCTGATTACATCTCTGTGGTGAGGCTTAACATTCATTGTAACTTAATTTCCCCCATTCTTTCTTACTTAGTTCAGAACAAGGCACAGAAACAGTTCCCAATAAAATGGCTTTTAAAAAAAGAAAAGAAAAGGAAAACAAAATAAAACAAAAAGCAGTCTGGTTGTCTCTGTAAAAGAGCAGATGCTGACAAACCCAGGATTCTGAAAACGTCCCACAAAAGTGGAACCAGCTACACCGATCAGAAAGCCAAATTTATTTATTTATTTATAGTTTACATTCAATATAGAAAGCCAGATTTCAATCAGGGACATTCCTGAGCCGGCCACAGCCAGCAGAGGCAGCATCCGGAGACGAGGTGTGGAGGCTGCCAAGAGCGGTGACTGTCTTCCCTCTGAGGACAGAGTTCTCACGTGTTCCCGGTTCATCTTCAGAAAGAAATGAACCCCGGAGGACCGAGGACCAAGGAGGCTGGGGGAGGGGTGTTCCTGAGTTGGCCTCGGCATGTTAATCAGTTTTAAATCTGCCACCATTAAGAACTAGCATTTCAGAGTCTGGAGGGGGAGGGCGAAGGCAGTCCTGCTGTTTTCCAGGACACAGGTTGGACTGTGAGGACAAAAGGCACAGCCTCGCAGAGCCTCAACGCTGGAAAGACTTACCAGAGCCCGACCACTGAAGTCCCAGCCCTGTGACAGGCAGCCTCCCACCCCCTCCACACCCCTCCTGCACAGAGAGCTTGGGCTCTGCTGGTTTTCTAATAATGGGACACAGTTGGCTACAGGCTTTGGAGTAAAAAAAGACTCGACCTTAAATCCCCGCTCCTTCACTTAAAAGCAGTGTGGCCTCAGAAAACCTGCCTAGCCCCCCTATGTCTCAGTTTCCTCATCTGGTAACTGGGGATACCATTGTCTGTCTGCTAGGGCTGTTATGAGAATAAATGAAGCTATGCATGGAGGCCTACAGCACAAACTCATTATATGTTAGCCCTTTCCCCGCAAAGGCTTCTACCAGTCCATTCCAACCCAGATCCTTTTGGGGAGCCATGACGGCACCTGCTGGACGTCTGCGGGGGCTACTGATGCGGTCTGTGGCCACCCGTGAAGCAAAGCCAACTGACCCATAAAGGGTTCAATCCCATGATCCTGATGGCACAGCGCAGCTCCAACCAACTAAGCTAATTGCAGCTGAGCCAGAGTCATCCCAGCTTGCACAGAGATGCCCTAAGGCAGCAGTCCATACAACATTCTTAAACACTTGTGTCCTAAGATGCTATGTGACACACCGCACTTGCCAACTTAACTAATGATCTCATCTTTTAAAAATCTTAATGTAATGTAGCAAACAGATGTGTCACTTAAGAGGATTAGGATGGAAATTCATTAGAGCCATAATACCAGTGGATTTGTGTTCTAAAACTAACCCTGATCAATCAACTTAGTGCACACTCCACCATAGCACTCCCCAGGAGCACGCTGGAGATCTGGACAGCCAGTCTTCACCCTCAGGGAAGTTATCTGAGAACAGGGGAGACGGTGAGAACCCCCACGTTGCAAGAGCCTGACCTAAATGACCTCTAACCCACACTGCTCAGACTGCAGTGTGCACAGGAATCACCAAGGCATCTTGGGAAAACACACGTTCTGATTCAGCAGGGGAGGAGGGAGGCCTGAGGGCATTTCTATTAAGAGCCCAGGTGATGCCCGGCCCAGACTTGGATCACCAAGGCTCTAATCCTCACTGCGATCAGCTGTGTTCCAGTGGGACCGACCAGGCAGCAAGGTAACCACAGAGACAAAGAAACGAACAGGGTGTGTCACTGCGAATCCAATCAGAGGATGGAACTCTGGACCGTGGACAGGCTGCTTGGACGGAGAACATTCAAGACACAAACGTGGAGTCATTAAGAGCTCAGACCTGGTGTCAAATTCCAACTCTGGAACTTCCCACTCCCGTGATCAGGTGACTTGCTTCTGCTCTGGTCGCTTCAGCTGTGAGATGTAACAGTACCAGCACCTGACCCCCGGGAGGCCGTGGGCTTGGGGAGACAAAGTGAGTCTAGACAAAATAGTTACTATTCTCCACTTTCTAGTCCACAGCAGACACCACCGCATTTCCTGAACTAAATTACTAAGTCATACTTGCCATTTTGACACGAGCTAATTATCATTTTCTTTGTTAAAATATTCTACACTTGCAGTTTCGTCTATCAAAAAGAAACATAAATCCTTACAGCCTTAACCTTCAGGTCAATCAATCCAAACACATTTAAGCTTTGAAAGGTCTGATTCTATTAATTCCACTACATAGTTTTTTTTTCTACATTAAAAGTCCTGTAATTACAATTTTTTTCTTTTAAAACACTACACCAAAAATAAACACCTGTTTATACAGCATTTGAAAACAAAAGGCCACACACCTCGTCCAGTCAAAACATATAACTACCAAAATGAACATCTCCCCGGTGAGAGTACAGCACCAGTTTTGACCTTTTCATCAAACTAATTGTTTATTTAATCACCTCCCCTGGAACGACTATAAAAAGCTGGGGGTTCCTTTTTTCCAAAATAGCAGCTTGAAAACAGAAAAGATATAGCATAATAAGTGTGATGTATTGTTTTTGTCTGAGACGGTGGTTTAGTTACATGAACAGTTCACTTCTAGTGGAGTCAGCAGACATGAGCTAAATAAATATGTCATCAAGCTAAGAAAAGGTACCTGGACTCAAGTTTTGGCTGGGGAGGACCTGAGAGGTCATCCAGTTCAAAGGTTCCCAGCACAGAGAACCCCAAGGGAACGTTACAAATTAGGACCCTCTGCTGGGCCTTCCAGGAGCGGGTTACACAGGTGTGTTCAGTTAGTGAAAATTCCTGCAGCTGCTCATTTATGCCCAGCACACTTGCCTGTTTGTTCACACGGGATGAACACACAGGATGGCTGAGAACACCGAGAGCGTCCGCATGTTCCACAGTCACGCTTCTCCCGTCTCTCCACCACCCAGAATGCCCCCAGGAGCTCCTCCTCTTGCCAGGCTGGGCTCCCTGGGAAGCCTTATCCATGGCAGTGGTTTGGAGTGACAGCTTGTCTACTCTCCTTTAACTAATTTACGGGAGGCTGATAACTGTTTACTCCCACCTCTGACTGTGAACTCGACCAGGCCAGGAATTCTGCCTCAAGGCTCTTACTCATGCTTGTAACATTCATCTACCCCAGGCCAAAAGGCACCTAGCACAGGAAGGTGATTTGGTGAACTCCCCAAGTTAATGGAACAAAAGCCCCAGGCACAGTGTGGGTTCTGCCCACAGCCACCCAGCTGGTCCAGGTTGCAGAACAGCACTGGGGTTTGAAGTCACACAGGCCTGAATCTCTCAGCTCCCTACGCCTAAAGGAGAAACCAGGTTACTTAATACTCTCTGCCTCGGTTTCCTCATCTGTAAAATGGGGATATAAAAGTCTCCACATTCACCGGGTTGTGTGGTATGAAATGAGATCATGCACTGACATCCCTGGCAGAGCCCGCACCTACATGCCAGTGCGCAAAATGTGTTAGCTCTTTTTATCACAGGTGGATCATCCCATTTTAAGACTCCCTGTTGGAAATTAACCAACATTTTAAAAGATGAAAGTGCACCTAGGCATATAAATGCCCTGAATTCTGCTTTACAGAACTCTGGCTAACAGCATCAGCCACTCAGTCAGCTTGAGATGCAAAATACAAATGCCAAACATCAGAATACACTGCAGCCGTCTTGGGGGCAAAAGACTCTAAGAGGAAAGCTGGCTGGCCCCCAAGACAGGGGGTCAAGGGTCTCTGTGGGATATCTTCTGGTTTTCTTTACTCCACAAGGGTCACCTCAGAAAGTTCTGAGAGCCAGTCAATGGCTGTGCTGTGGCTTCTGTGGGGTGGGGGCCAGGGGAGAGCAACGCTGGACTCCTCCTACCACAGCAGGAACTCTGAGTCAAGACTACGGGGCTATTCCATGCAATCATAAGAAGGTATTTCGGCTTCCCACTTGAAAGGTCAACCATGTATATAGGGTTTGAAATCCAAGGAAACCACTTCAAGGTCATTGGGCCACAATTATGTCTCCTGCGGTTTCCACAAAAGATCACTGTAATCAGAGACCATAATGAATGGCATATCATAATGCTGAAGAAGCCCTTCGAAAACTTTTAGCTGAATCCACTGACTGAGAAGAACCAACTAATTTACAAGAGTGACTCTGATAAGCTGAATCCACAATACGTCATTCTGTCGTCCATCTCCCCATCCAACCTGCTTTTATTGCCAGAGAGGTTCCCAGGAATGGTGACTGGACCCATCCTGCAACCACACAGGGAGAATGAGCTAGAACTGCCCCATTCCTCACTCCTGAAGACCGGTTGGATGAAGTCGTAGAGGGAAGCACTGCTAGGCTACCAATAGAGGGAGAATAACGTCACTGCTGCGGGTCACCGGTTTCCACGCACAACCGCCCCCTCTGCTTCCAAGGCAGGTGAACATCATACAGAAATCTAAAGAATTTTTTTAAATCAATTTTGCTCTTTTTTTATTTTTTTGTATCACGGGTATATCTCTTCCAAATATTTATCAATGTTGATCCTCAAAGAATAAATCATCTCCAAGCTTTGATATGGATTCTAAGAAAAAAAGAAAAAAAAGTACCGGGGAAGTAATTCTTCAAGCTGCAGTCATGCTGTTTAAGGGGGAGTAAGGGTTCTCCTGGCTAACTAAATGGTTAGCTTTCACTGCTCAGCTCTTGGCAACACACACTTTGCAAGACGCCTGTCCTCCTGCAAAGGGTTAAAAAGAAAACTCCTTCGGGTGGACTGAGAAGCCATTCTTCCCAGGGGACACTCATTTCGGCTGCGGCTGCAGGGCACCGGCTTTGTGCGCGCGCCGCCCCTGCGCGCCCCCGCCCCTCCCCACAGCCACTGCTCCTCCGTGGTTCCCAGGGCCACCTGCTTCTCCTAAGAAAAGGGGGCTCTCCGAGCGCTATTGCAGCGCGGTCGGCATCCCACCGGGGAGTGGGGGGAGGAGGAGGAGGTGTCCCGGGAAGAGTGCTTTGTCGCGAGGGTCGGGTGACCGCCTGCAGTTGCCCCACAGGCCCTAGAGGTTTGGTCCCGGGCGTCGCTCAGGACTCTCCTCCGAGGGACCTGAGTCCTCCAGGGCCCAGGCTCTGTCTGCGCCCGGCCA